TTCTTTCGCTCTCACGCTCTCTTTGAAAGGCGGACCTTCACGCATTCAGAAAAACATTCAAGAACTTAGAAAAAACGGAGGATGCCAGGGCAACGTAAAATTTGCAAGCTTCTCTCTTTCACGCTCTCTCGCTCTTCCTTTTTTTCTGTCTCGCCCTCTTTCACAGACAAACTTACACACTTATAGAAAAACAGGCGGCAATAACTGATAAAAATCGAAATATGCCAGGGAAACACAAAGATTGTAAGCTTCTCTCTCTCTCTCTCTCTCTCTCACTCTCTCTCTGGGTTTCTCCTTATCTATCTATACATCTATTTATGTTTGTTCTATTTTCATGGTTGCATATATAACTCGTATCAATTATTTTTATTTCGAAAGTACTGTTCGTATGTTTTTGTAAATAACTACTTAGAAAGTGTGGCGCATGCACATTCATTGGATGTATCTAAGATAAACAATATTGGTATAATGTCCGGATTGAAATATCTCTCGGACAATGTTTTACAAAAATAATTTCTAAATTTAATAAATTAAAATCTGAATGTTTGTCTGTTCAAAATAGAGAACTTGTCTATAAAAGGTAATAAGTGTTACTGTTTGGTTATATGCATGGTTGGGTAGAGTTGTTTCGATAAATGAAGAGAATAACAAAAGTACGTAAAGTAAATTTTAAAAAATTTAACATTCCATTTCATGATTATTCTATGAACCACATGTTTCCATTCTTATCTGTAAAATTTGAGATATATTACTACAGTATTTTTTTGTTTATATGTTCTTTGGGAATAATCAAAGTAATTGGAAAAAAAATGTGTCCGCTCTTTTTTTCTTAAAATTTAAAATCTTATTTTTGAACTGGCAGAATCTTTTTTAAGTACATAACGATACTAATAGATGGGATAGTGTGTTTTAAATATTTATTATTTTAAAAAATCGGTAAAAAGTTAAAACATTAAATTCATATTTTTTTGTTTTTCGATGAGTTTATCTATTCAAGATAAATTCAGCCGAGCTATCAAAAAAGAACATCCTGTATTGAATAAAAATACAAACAAAAAACGCTTCCTGTAAAGTACGCGAAAAACAAATTCTTTTGAACAATTCCGGAATCGTTTTTGCAGACTTTCAAAACCTTTAATTAATCACTGAAAATAGACATTTTTGACTGGATTCGTCAAAGAACAGTTTTTTGATGTCCGGTGTTCAACTGAATAATTTACAACGCCACTGAATTTTAGCTAAATTCAACATTATTACAATGATTCAAAATTTCTTTTTCTTCTTTCAGGTTTTTATGAGCAAAGTTTATATTGTATGTAATTATAAATGAGAAAAATGAGGTTAAAACCAATTATGATGACTATCTGTTCAGAAGAAATTCAGCCGGTCCATCTAATCCTGTATATCTAGTCTAATCTAATTCGATCTTCCTTATTATTTTATTCTCCTAGTTTAAAAAACAACAAATGTACTGATTTATGTAATAACTTGGAAATACTTGAGTATTTTAAAAATTTATGCAAGATAATTTATTTTTTTCGGCCCTTAGGTCTTATTGGCAAAAATGGTAGAATTTGTCTTTATTTTTTTTTTAATGTTGAAACAAAAAAAAATTGAAATCTTATATTCCAAGATTACACATTCCAAGATTCTTTCCTTGTTATGTTGGCGTCTAAATTGTGCAACAAATATTTAAAAATAAACCATACAAGCTATTGCACTTATCGAAAAATTATCGTTTCTAGAAATTACAACCGGATAATTTATGCACACCTCTTTTCAAAAACAAATAATAATATTTACGAAACGGAAACAGAAGAAATTTCGAGTACGCCCTCTAATGCATTTTAATATCGCTAATTTTCCTCACTGGGGAATCGTGTCCGATGTCTATCTCGACACGTGAGTCCCGTGTGTCTGGTTTTATAACGCAAACCGAGTAGAAACGGTTCATTAGGCACATTTTTAACCTCAAAACGAACTTTTAATAAATTTTATTTCATTTTTTAACGCGTTGAAATAAGAGGAAACAGTGGGAAAAAAATTATGGATCTGGCTGATCCAAAATTGGGTAATTTTTTCAGTAGTGCATCTAACATTTACACTTGCAATTTTGAAGATATGCGACAAGGTTAGGGCAATAAAAAAAATACATATAAAAAGAAACATTAAAAAACAATTCCATTATAGAGAAATGCAAGTTTATTGCTTTAAAGTATCAAACAGTTTATCACTACGCAGACCGGAAGAAGAAATCTCACATAAAAAAATATTTGAAATTGTCACTTCTAAATATAATTTTTATCCTTCTGTATAAATATTTTCAATAAACACTTTATAGCACGAGCTACACACATAAAAATAAATTAACATTAAGCCGAATCATCATTTTAAATTGTTAAATTTTCTTATCAAATATTATTCGTGTATTTTTAGAATAAACCATAAAATTGTTGCCTCTAGCTGTCTAACTAAACGTTAGAAATTATGAAAAAACAAGAAAGGAAACTCAGTTGACCGATACAAATACAACTAATCAACAAGTAAAACATTTAAAATAAAAATGAACACAATAAATTCGATAACAAGAAAACTAATTGTCATGTTTTTTATAGAATTTTAAGCTCAACATAATGTCATACATGAAGTAATAAGTATGTTGTTATTATACTTATTAAAAATATAAGAAGATAGAGTGTAAAAATTATATCAATCAGATATTTGTATGTATAATAAAAAGTCAACAGTTAATGTGAAAAAAAATAAAACGGTTACTTGCTATATTTCCAGACAAAAGATTCAAATATTGCAAAAAATTTGAGTCCGTGTGTCTTGTAATAATTACAACACGCACAAAACGTACAGAAAACTCTTTGAACACTGTTTTATTGCAAAAGAAAATAAACAATTAAAATTTTAACTTTGTTTTGTTTTGAAACGACTTTGACCCGATTATTTTATCCTTAATTAACAACATAGTACGGCAATTTTAAAAAAATTACAAGAGATCAAAACCACCGTACGCGTACTTTATTCTTGATTTCCAGCTTTCCAGCAGGCTCGATTGTTTTCTATTTATTCAATCCAAGTACTTCTGTTATATCAAAACTCAATGAAATATTACATTGCGTAAATTGGGAATAAATATAGTTGTTGCTGTCTTTGAAATTATTTAGCAATAGATATACGGCAATTATAAAAACAATACATAACAAAACACTTTAGAATTCAAAATAGTTCTAAAATTACAAAAATGCTGATGATTAATGTTTTATGGAAAGCCTTTGTGAGAAACATGTCTACTTGAAAAACATTCATATATTAATTGTTTTTTTAAATCCGGCTCATTCAATAAATAAACACAACTTTATGTATTAACAGGAGGAATTCTAAAGGAAACCATACAGAAAACAATTAGATCAAGTCAATAAGAAGTGGCAACACGAATCCAAAGTAACGTTTCATTTATGATGAGTTTTAAAATGTAAACAAATCAGACCAGAACAGTACAACTTTGAACATTTATTGAATGAAAACAAACAAGTTGTTAGAATAAACATTTTGTGTGTCATTGTGAAACTAGACTAAACCTTGCAATTTTAATGTTGGGAACACAAAACATTGAAGTGGAATCGTGGTATTAAACTGGTTTATTTTAGACATTATTATTAACAAAAATCTATTCTGTATATGAAATTCTTTCTTTTAAAAATGAATATCGTTGGTATATTTAATATTGATATAATATTTCAGAGTAGAAAAACCGTGCAAATAGCATAATCTATTTTACTAAAATGGCATAATTTGGTCCTAATGTGGTAAAAACTGGTTTCTGTTCATTTCAAAGATATTTATTATATGTCTACAAACCGTGCATACATAAAATACTTTTTTTAATCGTATATTTTTGGGGATATTTATACAACATTCCAAGGTAGAAAATTTTTCCCATAGTATAATCTAGTTTTTTTAAATGGGATAATTTGGACAATTTAATGTGGTAAAAACTGGTTTTTGTCCATTTAAAAGATATTTATTATATGTCTACAAACCGTGCATACATAAAATACTTTTTTTAATCGTATATTTTTGGGGATATTTATACATTTCAGGGTAGAAAAATTTTTCCCATAGTATAATCTATTTTTCTAAAATGGGATAATTTGGACAATTTAATGTGGAAACAATTGGGTTCTGTCCATTTAAAAGATATTTATTATATGTCTACAAACCGTGCATACATAAAATACTTTTATAATCATATATTTTTGGGGATATTTATACAACATTCCAGGGTAAAAAAAATTTTTCCATGGTATAATCTATTTTTTTTTAAATGGGATAATTTGGACAATTTAATGTGGTAAAAACTGGATTCTGTCCATTTCAAAGATATTTATTATATGTCTGTAAAGCCGTAGTATATATAAATACTTTTTTTAACCATATATCGTTGAGTATATTTATGTCAACAAATTTGTATAACATTCCGGGGGAAGAAAAATTTTTCATATAGTATAATCTATTTTTCTAAAATGGGATAATTTGAACAATTTAATGTGATAAAAACTGGATTCTGTCCATTTCAAAGATATTTATTATATATCTAAAAATCGTAGTATTTACAAAATACTTCTTTTAATCATGTATCGTTGGGTATATTTTTGTCAACAAATTGATATAACATCGCGAGGTAGAAATATTTTTCACATAGTATAATCTATTTTACCAAAATGGGATAATTTGGTCAATTTCTTATTGCAGAAAATTGGTTCTGTACTTTCTGAAGATATTTATTATATGACAAAAAAAATGTAATAGGTGTTTACTCGTTAGAAAGGTTTTACTAAATTCAGTGTCATGTGGATGTGGCCGTAGTATATCCAGTAGTTCTAATTTTTGATAAATCCCTCGTGTATTATTGAAATGCGCAATGGCACTTTAAACCGGATTGCTTGGATTTGAGGCTAAACAAACATTTTGTCAAAAAAGAAACTCACCGTTGGATTTGTCATGCATCGTCTCATTGGGTCCGGGGGAGTCCTGTAGGTTGGCGAGTACCTCCCCGGAAAGCAGGGCCCCGGTGCAGAGATGGGGAGCGGAGATTTTCCCTGCATCATTTTATCAGTACTGTACATCATGAGATCCATGCTCGCTCGGTACCCTCTGACGCTCTACTCACTCTCTGCGCCTATTTCGAATCGCACCCCCACTCGGAAAAGGGCCCGGCTAGGGGTGGAAAAGCGCATGCTTGGGTGAAGCGCCATGTTACCCCCCGGATCCTCGTTATAATTGGTCCCCACCCACTTTGCTACCCCTCCACGCCGACAGCACCCCCAACCCTCGACCGGTCGACCGTCAAACTCGGCTTTAATTAGACGGATTAGCCGGTACAATCGTTCCCTGATAAACGTCCTTCCTCCAGGAGAATTTGGACATTTAGACGTCTTCCTCATACGGATTCTGTTATCATAAAAGGTAGACTTACCCTTCTGGGTCAATTCGCCTGCGATAACAACCCCGCTTTGTTCACCCTTATCGTAGAACACCATCTTATTTTTGTTTATTCTACTTGATTATGCAAAGATCATCGGGAAAGCACTGCTCAAGAGCATAATCAGTAATAGTCAATAATCAATCAAGTCCATATAACTCCTTATGCTGATCATTATTTATATAAACTAACTCATAACTTAGTTTTTTTTATTACATGCTTATATTTTAGATCTACTTTTCACTAAACTCATACAATACTTATGACGATCCATTTGAACATTACGTTTATTGGTGTTGGTTTACTGCACCTTTTTGAACCGCGGTGGCCGAATGGTCCTCCTCGTATTGTCCTGTTAGCGGACCTGGGTTCGAAACCCGTCAAAGCCCATGGGTTTTTAATTGATAATCGAATGAAATAAATATTACAAAGTGGCTTGATCCTTCTTCCGGAACACCCAACGGGACCTTAAGCCCTCCTATGTGATAGAAATTTCTTTATCTTACTTTTTACTGCGTCTTTGAAGATGTATAGTATCCTCTGTATATAGTACGCCTAGTATGCATAGTAGTACGCTATGAGTACTTCAACAAAGAAATTTTCATTAAGTCCAAGTCAGATAAGAGGCGGCAAAAACATATGCTTTCTCCTCGGCAGACTTGGCCAAGTAGTCGTCGACCTGGCGAAGCCTGGTATATAATTTGTGGTAAGATAGATTTCAACTGCTACCCAGAGCGATTTATTATTTGTTGGTAGTGATTCAATAAGTTCTTCACTTTTTTCAATATTCATTTAGCACTGCAGTTTAGAAGCCAATCAGAATTCCAAATCTCACAATGAGTTTCTTGGATCGTTCTTGAATCGCGTTCTTCTCTCTCTCTTTTCATTTCATTCTTCTTTTCTAAGATGTTCGTAGTATCAATCCTACTACAACGCAAAATAAGTAAACAAATAAAAAAATGAAATCTAGACCTGTTAACTTAAATTTAAAAAATAGTCCCAAATGGAAAATAACAAAACAGCCAGTTATAATAAATACATCATACATTGATAAAAGTTAAATGGATAACGAAACAGCCAGATTGGTCGAAGTAGAGCTCAAAGCAGCCCCAAAAGTTTCCGAACCAAACGAAAAATTACAAAATATGTGCTCAGAGGAGCTTGACAAGACACGACCTTAAATAAACAATATGAACTAAGCGCTGTAATGTCCAATATACAAAAAAACAATCCCAAATTAAAATAAAATAACTGTTAAAATAAATACATCATATATTGTTAAAAATATAATGGATATGTATGGTAATTAGTGACCGTTTTTCGTTGATTATTCAGAAATCGTGAGATGCGGTCTGGTGTGACGTAGGTTTCACAAAAGCATTTGCTTTATCGCGATACGTTTCGACCTTTAATGAGATCATCTTCAGGAACTGGGATTTACAAACATTGTTTATATTTAATAAAAACATGTAGGATGTGGAAAAAAGTGAATTTATACAATGCAAATAATTTTTTTTTATTCAATCAAAGAATTTCTACTCAGAGTGTTTTTTCTGTGAGTACTCATTTTGAGTGAGTAGAAATACTTTGAATGATTATAAAAAAAAACTATTTTTTTGCATTGTATAAATTCACTTTTTTCCACATCCTACATGTATTTGTAAAATTTAAACAATGTTTATACATCCCAGGCCCTGAAGATGATCTCAATAAAGATCGAAACGTTGGCACGATAAATAAAATGTTTTTCTAAAACCTACATCACACCAAACCGCATCTCACGATTTCTAAATAATCGTAGAATGGATAACAAAACATCCACATTGACTGAAGTATTGCTCAAAGTAGCCCAAAAGGCTTCTCCAGCCGAGCAAAAAAATAAATGATATAGACCAAGCACTGTGAAATTCAATTAAAAATAAACGGCTGCCCCAAATTGTTAATAAAATAATAGCAACGAGCAAAAATAACAACAATTTAAAATAAATAAATCGTATACCCATATCAGAGGAAATGGTAACAAAACACCAAGCCTAATAAGAGCTGAGACGAGCTCGAAAAGATCCAATCGAGCAAAATAAATAATTTAAACGAAGCGCTTTGAAGTTTACTTTTGAAAAAAACAAATCTCAAATGAAAATGAAATAACATACGAAACAAACACCTTAACAAAAACCAAAACTTAAAGTTAACGGATTTTATGGCACTATTGCAGAAAACAGCGATTATGATTATTGATCCTTACATTATACAAATCATAATAATAAATATTTTCAACTTTTATACAAATCGCATATAAACACTCGTTTTATGGCTACTAAAATCCACTCACTACAGAATACACGTGTATTATTGTTTACCAGTCTATGACCATCTTTGAATTCAGTTTAGAACGTCAGTGGTTTGTCGGCTGGTTATTTTGTGTGTTCAGAATAAATCAAAATACTTAAAACCGTGTGAAAAAACTAACCAAAATGTATTGGACAATACACAAGAAGCCAGAAACTTGTTTTATTTATTTTATTTACATGGATACGTGAAAAACAACTTTATTTACATAAACCAAATTACAGTGTTTTTTACTCCATTGATTATAACACCCAGGTCAAGAAAGCCACGTAGAAATTACTAGGATAGATATTACTTACATAAAAAATAATTACACCAAAAGTATTAAATTAAAACTTATTTTCTCAGTTCAAAATTAAAAATTAAACTGCTCGTCTAGATCTCTGCGATATTCCAGTGTTCTCTTTGCAAATCCAGCCAGGTCGGAACAAACATCTTTGCGATCAAAGTCGCTCTCAAAACTTTTGCAATTTTCAAAAATTTAACCCAAAACTGTAAAACATAATGGAACACTCAGTCAAAAAATGAAAGAAGTCCTCGCAGAAGATTAGCACGATGAACAGGGCCTAATAGAATCATCTCTAATGTAATGAAGTAGTCAGTTTTGCACCATAATTTGTCGTGGCAAGGGTAATTTTTATTGGGCAACTTTACATTATTAGGTTACTCAAAAAAATGCAGATGATTTGTCAAGGCGAAATCTAGACAAAACGGAGATACAAAAGCGAGAGAATTCTTCATGGTGGTTAAGAAAAAACACGAAGTCAATATTAAAACCATTGACTAATGAATTGAGCGGTTTGAACCAGGAAAAATGAGTTATTTTGGCAAGTCTATAGTCAAGCAAACAAGAGTGTATAAAAATAAAAGTTTAAAGATACTATACTGATGATTATAAGAAGAGCATGTAATCGGGTGTAAAATTAGAGATGAAACTTTTGGGCAAACCCCCTCGTAATAATTCGTGTCCGTCATGCAGAGAAAAGTTGCTCGATGTGTTCCATTTTGTTGAAGGATGGAATACTTTGGCTCCATATAGAGCGCGAGTAAGCAACCCGGTCTACTGTAGTTTTGTAACCCAAGCGTGTATTGAGTGAATGTATTTATTGGCGTGAATGTGCAGTCTGAGAGGCAAAATATTGAGTACTGAACGACCATCAGTTAAGTTATATAATAGGTGTAAAGCGTGATGGATGTAAGAATGTGAATGGATTTAGAAACTGACGGTGTTGGGAGCTGAAATGAACTAGCTTTGGCAGTCCTCAGAGCACAAATAAGATCGAGGTCTGACTTCCAATACCCAAGGCTTACCGGTAATTTATTGTAAATTACAAAAAAGCTGAGATGGACTGAATGCAGTAATCGGCTCAACTCTGTACGCGCGTGCGCGGATATAAACTTACATAAATCAGTAATCAGTAATGGCGAAATGACAAATAAATCACGAGGAACTAAACAAATTCCATATTACAACAAAGCATACAATTTTTGTTTTATCATATCGAGGTTTATTATACGGAATGTTTCCAACCAAAAAAACTTTGTGAAAAAACATGATGAAAAGTGGAGGGTAAACACAATTGTACTAGTTGGCACGACAATTGAAAAGGTATACAATTCATTCAGAACAAAAACATCGGCCGTATATTTTCATAAAAAAAACAAATGTAAGGTAAAAAGACGTTCAATGGTTATTTTTGATGAAAAACACAAACAGAATTTTGTAAAGCATGTTCATTTGACAAAGAAATATAGATCTACAAGGGAAAAGTTAATTGTTTATTGTAATTTTTTTTTAGATTTGTGGAAGATTAATGCTCCAAAGTTACAAGGGAATTGTATATCAATAAAACCCAATTTTCTTTCTAAAAGTGTTTTCTTTTAGAACATTTTTAGAGATATAGGATCATTTTGAGTCAGCAACTTCCGGCAAGATGTCCTTCTTCATTATGAGTTGTTGAGTTTTTCTTTCCTAGGTAGAATGTTTTTCCAGATTGTTGTTAAACATTATTTTCATATATATGTGTCTATTCTCCAAAAAAACTCAAAAAACTCAAAATAATGAGACTTAAAATCCAAAAAAACTAATTTTTAAATAAATATAAGATGTTGAAGATGCGTGCTAAATCCGAACGTCAAAATAAATGTCTAAACAAGTAAACAAATTATGTTTTTAAAATCAATTGTTTAAAAAAAATTAATCTCAAAAATTTCTGTCCAAGAAAAAAACATTTTTCTGGTCCTATTTCTCTGAAAACTCACAATATTGAATCATTTTGAATTAAATATAAGTTGTTGAAGATAGGTGCTAAATAAATGTTTAAATAAGTAAATAATATACAT